CCCCAAAACCCCAAAACCCCAAAACCCCACACTCAAAAGTACAAATTGAAACTAAAACTCATCATAAATATCATCTGAGCTGCTACGAAAATCTTTCGGTAAGATACTTTTGAAAGAACTCATGACCTTCTGTCTCATGTCTATTTCTCTATGGTTAAGCTAGAGCTTACTCTTCCGGTTTATCATCGAAATTATAGCTTGGTCTTTTTGAAGTGACATTATACATGCTAAATCAGGATTAACTGGCACAAAGAAGAGCTTACTTTTTGATACTTCTGGCAGTCTGTCTTCTGTAATATATAACAAAGAAATAAACTTACCTACTATAATTATAACAGAAAGAGCGTGACTGCTCAAATTTGTTTGCAATAAAGCCCATATCAGGAATTATTTTCGCTAAAATATTGGTTTAGAACCATACTTCCGACTATGCTTTCAGTATCGCTACATCCAGAGAGATTCTCAGAGTGTTGGCTCTCCCTACCTTCGCTTGTCTTCAAGTAGAGATCAGAAGATGTATAAGGTACTGAACTAGGCTCTTCTTTGTATTCTTCGTTACTAAATTTTTAGTATGATTTGAATACCTTCTTCTTTCTGACCTAAATGATCTATCTTGCGATTTTTGACTGTTCTTAACACTATGGACCGGAACATAATCATTTTCTTGATAACTAACAAATCAAGCAAAGCCTTACTCAATTGATGAAGACTTATTACTTTTCTGTTTTCAGAAATTTTCCAGTTCTCCTTTAAGGTTCAGATTGCAAGGACTGTCTTGCTCATAATTAAATCTTCTATGCTTAAGCAACCCAGATACTTTTTAGAAAATTGCATCTTGTCTACCCATTTGTCTTCAGGATTGAGGAACATAAAGTCTGTTCTATCCGACCCTAAGGTGTTCATCCAGTATTCTTACTTCTATGTGAGCTCGCAACTGAATTTGCACCAAAAGTAACTTCGCTTCGTTCTGGATTCGCCTAAAATCAGATGAATGAAATTCTACCTCTACATGGTGGGATATTAAATGATTTTGAGTGACTATCTTCCTAGGCTTGGTTACAGAGTCTTCCCCAGTCGAAAAACTTCGGCCTTTTTGACGCAATTTATGACTTCTACAAAGTTATTAAAAAGCTACGATTTTCAGTTAAAATTTTCTTGGCTCTTCTTGTATTCTTTTGAGTGAGAATCTGCTCTTGTAAAATCTTGTGTATCTTTATTTCCTTCTAAAAATAACAAGGCAGTTTCATACCGGTTGTGTCATCAAAGGTTCATTCCTTAACAATGGTGAGTTCCTTGTCACTAGAAGAGTTAATCCTTTGCGTACATTTCTGGAGTGCTCTCTTCAACTTTTTGTGAAGTATCATCACTAAATAATAACAAGGCCAAGGATTACTCAATGACTGAATAAGATGGGTCTGATTTACTCACGAAGGAGACGCTCTTAGACCCTACGCTACCAGAGACAGAGGTTCTTTTAAAGGATTTTTCTGATGTATATGAGCTAGTCCGCTGCCGCTTCAGTCTACATACTATCAAACTAGAATGTTTACCTCTTGCTTCGTTGCCTCATCTCAGTAATTTCCAGCATCAGTTCTTCTACAAGTTTCTTTAGTTCTCTAGATCGATCAAGAAGGGTCTGAGTCAGGCTTACACGTTGTCAGATTCGAGTTGTCTTTTTTCATGATGAAGGCCTTGGATGTACCTAGTGAGAGTTTCAGGGTCTAGAGGGAGGTGGATAAGAAAAGCTTACTGAAAGTTATGCCTTTTGGATGAGCGGAATAAGACATTTGCAATTATTATTATTAGAGGAGGGGTTTTGGGGTTTTGGGGTTTTGGGG